CAGTACCCTCTCGCGAGGGAAGAGGTGGCGCTTGGCGCAAAGGGGTTGTATCCCTTGGAGGGGAAGACACAGAATGGGATCGACGTCCCTCGCTCGGTGAGCGTGATGATCTTGGGGTACTTTGACCCGAAGGTGACTCGGCTCCGCCGCCCCTAGAGGCAACGTCACTGTCATCGTCCCCAAAAATGTCGCGACGCATTGCATCATCCATGATGGAGCAAGCGCTATCGAGACAAGTGCTTTATAAAAGCAAGGTTTTCGTGAACACTGTAATGCTCTAAAGCAAGTGCTAGGCACTTAGTGCTGTGAAAGCAAGTGTTCGTAAACACACAAAGGGTATTAATTACCAAGTGCTTGGCACTTAACGCTTATAAGCAAGTGTCGTAACACTTAATGCTTTAGCGTGAGTGCGATGCACTGTATGCTCAAAGAGCGAGTGTCGTAACACAAGGATGCTTAGAAAGCGTGTGTGCAAAGCACGGGTGCTCAAGGAGCAAGTGTCAAAAACACATGACGCTTTGTACGCAAGTGCAAGCACTTATTGCGAGGCAAGCGAAAATGAGAAGAAAATGAAATCGATGCCTCCACTTAAGTGCGAAAATTCGTGGGTACGTCGGGTCCCACGGATTGGTGGGGGAGGGTGTAACGGGGTTACACGAAGGTGTGTATTGTACATACACACCTGCCACACCAATGTGGTGTGGCTGTACCTTGGGTACAAAAGTAGGTGATGTGACCGTACCTGAAGTACGAAGGGTCGCATCGTGGCAGAGAGCCACGTGGTCACTATACTTATTTAAAGTATAGTGACTATGCATGTTTGCATAATAATAACAGGCTATAGAGCCAGTAAATAGTGACTAGCACTAAGTATAGAGTAGGTGCTTCTATATTTAGTGTTAGAAGATAAACATAAATATAAATCAGTTTCAAACCTGCTCTGTAAGCCTTACAGCTTGAGCGTACTATTCCTTCTAAGGAATCAGTATCTTTGATACTAGTCTCTTTGAGACTCGGTTGTTAATAACCGATAGGCACAAGCTTACGAGCTAGCCTAGGAGGGTTAAGCACCCTAAGACGTAAAAGCTCTCTGAGCTTGTCTTCCTCTGCACATAGTGCATAAGTAGCTTGGCTACAGTAGCTCAGCTACAGCATCAATGTAAGCCAAACTGCACATACAAACAAAATTGTACCATTCACTGCATCGTCAATGTCAGCAGCAATACTTTGACCAAACACGGTGCTTCTAGAGCAGAAAGTAGGTGGCCACATGAAAGAACAAACGTCTTCCACATATTTTCATAACATTAGTCAACGTCTCCATCGAGGCGTTTGCACATTCGTCATGTCATATCGCCGCCAAGCGCCGTATCGTACAGGTCTAGGGAAAGAATGAAGAAATCTCTTTTGTCGTCAATTCCTAGTGACGAACGTGAAGGGAACATGGGGTCCTGAGCAAGCTGTAGGGCAGAATTGGCTTTTTTAAATCTAGAGTCGTCCAGCTCACGAATTCATTAACAACTTTCTTATCTTCATGTAAATCTTTTGGCGTTGTCGCATCCACGTCTAAATGCTTATGCACCACAACGAGCGCTAACTTCCAAGCCTGTTGGTCATCTCTTACAAGTAAAGAATCCCCGACCACGTGCAACGCCACATCACCACGCCATTCAAAAAACTAATGCTTCCGGACCATTCACCATTAGCCAGCGGAGATGCAACATCAATATGTGTGGATAGTGTTTTTAGTACGCGTTTGGGGTCATCCACATCTTTATCAAAATTGTTGTTCACGTTAATGGTTGCCACATCGGTGGATCCAGGGGCGAGTCTAGCTTGCATATCATCATGCTTCACAAGATTGCGTGGTTGTTTGATCACGAAAACGGACGCAAATGGATATGTGAACGTGATCCAAACATCCTCCACTGCGTCTTTGCTGTCCAGTATATTTGTAGTCGCACCATTGTAGTATGGTGAAAAGCTCAAGTTCGAGCAACTCTGAGCTCATTCCAGACACAACAATATCAATTTTTAATGAATATCTTAAGCCAAGTTCTAAATAACCTAATGATGCAACACACACACGATAAGCAATTATCAAACACAGCATAAAGTACACCTCACAAACAAAACATGATTGGTGAGAAAGATAAGACAAACCAAGTTTGTGCTGTCGCCATCGGTCAGTATCTTATCGACGCAAGGAGGCCTTTGTCTTGATTCAAAATTGGCTGGAGCTTAAAGCCCTTTGTTCCTAGTAACTCCAAACCTCATGGGACAACTGTGAAGGTGCGGCTGCACATTAATTTTTTTGTGACGCCTAACATCGTCTTAACCTTATTGACACCATTTCCCATGCACATCACACGAACAGTACTTTCTGCAACGCGCATATGCCTCCTTTCCCTGGCTATAGCAATCAGCCTCACAAAAAGCGAGATTGATATTTTTTTCTTGCAAGTTTCTAAACAAACAATCGAGAAGTTCCTCGTTCAGAAGACAATGAGGACGTTCCGGCAACTGACGATTCGGTTGCTCTGCAAAGTAAGTAGGTAAGGCGCTTACCAATCCACGGCCGTCAGGCCGAGGAGCATCTTGCTCGCATGAACCATCGTGCTAAGCAAACGAGTAAGACCCAAGTCGTCTCATTTTCTATTTGACGAACAACAACGCAGTCTTCCAATTTTACATACTAACAATTGTTCCTAGTTGAAAGTAAGACCAAAGAACTTGTAAAATACGGCTTTGAGTAAGTGAGGTTTTTTCTTGCTGACAGGCTAGAACCTCATCTGAGACATTAAACCTGAGCCGCCAATATTTTAGTCACAAAAATGAAAAGTCTAGCTCGTGTTTATGTTCAAGCACGCTCTTTTTGCTGGTGACGTACCGTCACCACATTCACAAAACCAAGACGGAAGGAGGCAAAAGTATCGAAGACTTCAATGATTTTGTTTCTGTTGGCTGCCGTCGCCATGGTCGATGAATCGAGCGTGATCGTGATCTTGGACTCGCACGACATCTGAACAAGAGACTGTCGTACTTGCGCGGTAGGAAGCCAACCGTCATCAAGTATCCTACCGTCAAACCTTCTGTGGGTTGTCTATGGGTTCAAGTGATCATTTTATCGCAATATGGCATATGTGACCTTGAATTTAGAACCATTTGTCCACATCAATTTAGTGGTCCAGTCATGATGATCAAAGTGTTGGTCCTATTGTTTACTGCAGCGGCCCTTTTGCAATTATTGTTCCAATTGTATGGGGTTATACTTGATTACGTCAAGAGTCCGGACAAATCAGTTTATTGCAAGGTTAAAGTAAGCCAGGTATTTGTTCTCATGCTGAGGACTTGCTCTTGCGCCATGCCTATGGTCTCGTTTGATACAGCAGCAAGTATTTCTCTCGTTTTCACCAACATGCGACAGTATACAACATTTTTATGAGCTTATCCCAAAAATTCTGTGGTCCAGCCCAAGCCAGTCATTCTTCACCACTAGCCACGGCACACTTTGACGAAAATTCTATCGTTTTTGGAGCCAAACTGGGTGGGGCTGGGGCTCTGCCTTCAACTAGGGTTAGTATAGCTGGCGACGTCCCCACGCGTCACTGCGTCGGCTTACGGCATCGAAAAAATCAGCTTAAGGGATTGCGCAAGCAGTTAAGTAGCGGGCTGCCTCCACGGCTACTTTAAGTAAACTTGGCCGCTTGAGTGGACATACTTGCACGACATAAACAATGGACATATCTGGTAGCGTGCCCGAAGCATCGCCAGCCAATTGCGAGAGCCCACCGTAGGTGGCCAGCCCTGCACAATCACTGGACTCGAAAGAGCACCGGTGTTGCCGTCTAGGCTTGACATTTTGCTACCATATAACGTTTTTAATCTCTCTGACATATTTATGCATGCATTTGCTAGGTTGCGTCATTAAATCGCGTCTTGTGTGCGTATTAAAACTGATCGTTTTGCGGACGGACGACCTTGGTGGAGAAGCACGTCAGACTGAACAATTCGATAACCCACATTCTTTGGATTCGAGATTCGAGTATGTGGCTGCAGCAGGGCAATTGATTTGCGAGAGAAACGCCAGCATCCATTGGCGCCGCGGAAGACACGGCCACCCAGGCTTGATCCAGAGGCCTTTGGTCGTGACTGTGCAAAGGAGCATCCAGGAGCGTTCAGCTCCTTTACACGGTCACGACCAAAAGCCTCAGAGGAGAGTCCAGCTCGTGTCCAATCGGCAGCAAAAACCATCCAGTTCGTCAGGGTACCCTTGAGCTACCATCTGTCAGATAGGACAACGAGAGCGGCTTGGTTTAAGCCGCACATGCACGTTTCCAGCATGCAACCAACCAAGCTGCACTCTAGCGCCTTTCCAGTGGCTGATGAGCTGTGCCCGCATGCCCGCGTCACTTGACCAAACGGACAGCTTCAGAAGAGGTGCTCGTACGATTTCCCTGCACCAGCGCATCGGGTCCCGGTGAAGCACGGGTACTCGTGGGCTCGATTTGTGTAAACAAAGCTCAACGAGGGTATGTCCCAACAAATTTCCAGCGAATTTCAGAGCTTATGTGCGTCAGGCGGTGGAGAGCTGTCGTAGAAGGCGTATTCCGTCCGCCTCTTTCGCCTGATTTCAAAAGCGTTGTTATTGGTAATGTGCAACTCGGTTGTAGTGACGCGGCCGCAGGTCATCGAGGTCTGGGCCTAAGATCCACGGGTTGTCCGGTTAGGATAATGTGCTTTAGAATGGCAGCAGCTACGAGATACAATGTCGGTAAGAGGAATATCAACTTATGACAATAAAAAGTAGTTATTGACGTATTGTGTAGTTTCAATACTCTTTTCATATGGTTGTATCTCTTTCTTATGAAAAGTGTATGGCAAATATTATGGAGAACATTACAACTTTTATCAAATTCATCCATTCTGTTGATACATTTCATCTTTCATAACGTAAATATTTCCACGACCAGTAAAAACGTTTCAAGCTAAAGACCGGAATGTCGCTTTTGGACTCGCCCGAGGACGCCAAACGCAAACGTTCTCCGTCTTTCTCACTCCAAGAAGCTTCTCTTATGTCTACTGATGTCTCATTCAATTCCACGTCGAATCTTATGCACCAGAAACGACGCAAGAAGTGGACACGTCTCTTGCTCCGTGAACTATATGATTTAGGATATAAAGACACAGTCGTTGCTCTAGAGCATGAAGCCTGCATTAAATTAGAATCTCCAGCAATGAAAAAGATGCAGCAATTGATGGCGCAGCATCAGTGGGATGAGGCGCTGAAGTTGGTGACAAAAGAGGCTGGAGACGAAGACGATGAGTCATTGGACATGAAATCGCCGATGGCCGCACGAGAAGCGGCACTGCTGCTGCTGAAGAGGAAATACATTGATTTACTACTGTCCAAGCAATTGACATTAGCGTTGCGTACGTTTCAAGAGGTGATTTTGCCAGTTTACGAGCCGAATGAGACCGAGGTGATGCAGTTTGCAGAGTTACTGCTTTGTAGAGATGCAGATGAAATGAAGCACAAAGATACAATGTCATGGCAAGATGTAGAACTACAGCAGAAGATTGAGGAGCTGGTTAGTCCAGAAGAAATAATCCCAGAGGGTGCTCTACGGGTTAGTTAAGATTGACACAGAGAGGTACAATAGGAGAACTTATTGTGGCTGTGTCTTGGCAGAGGCTGATGCTGGATGGAATCGAGACAAATCTACAAGCACCACCGCCTATGCTCAATGGGTGTATCACTGGAGAGTGTATGGAGGTTCTCACGAGTTGTATTAAGCTTGACGTGTGGGAGTTGGCGTTCTCGCCTGATGGAGATATCTTGGCATCGGCGTCAAGTGACGGGTCAGTCGTATTGTGGCAGCTTAAGTGGTGTGATGGGGCAACAAATTGTCGTCAAGGATCTCAGGTGAGCTCAGTAGGGATCTGTTTCATCTTGTTACGTATCTGACTCTTCAATATGTGGATTAGCTCGCGGTAAAACCTCATCACGTGTTGCAAAACCTTGAAGGACCTGCTGACTGCCTTGCTTGGTCCCCAGACAGCAAGTTTTTGCTATCGAGTGGTAGCCGCTCTGGAACTATTCAATTGTGGGATCAAATGGTGCGATTTTTTTAAACTTTTAGCATACGGAAACTTTATTTTAATTTATCCTGAGATTAATCGTCGACTAAGCTTTTTCACCTCCGTTTTATCTGGATATGTAGAGCGGATTGTGCAAAAAACGTTTTCAACACCCAGAAGGAGCGGTCACAAGAATCCGCTGGCTGCCATGTGGGGACCAGTTCCTAAGTGGAAGCGCAAACAAGACTCTCGTTCTGTGGGTAGGATAACCTTCGAGTGACTTGCCATCCACTGGCGTATTGGCGTGCCATTTATTTTAGCGAGATGTTCTCACTCAGCTGTTTCGATGTAGTCTGCAAGCGTAGGCTCCATTGCGTACCAGTGGAGTGGTCGAAGGGTGCTGGATATCGTTGTGCATCCACACAGTAGTAAGGTGTTTGTACTGACATCAGGGCACGAGATTCGTGTATACGATATCACGCTGAAAACGGACCAGTTGTTTTTGCAAGCCGAACATCTTGTGTCGTGTTTAAGCGTATCCCCTTGTGGAAAGTTCCTACTTGTAAACTTTATCAAGCAAGAACAAATCGCGTGTGTGGATATTGCTACCGGTTCCGTAACAGCCAAGTATTGCGGGCTTCGTGAGCAACGATACGTTCTTCGTCCATGCTTTGTGGGGAACCACAGCGAGGTTGTTGTCGCTGGAAGTGAAGGTATGATGAACTGTTGGCAATTCAGTGATAACGTAAACTAACGATTCGTTATACTTTTTGCATTATTTTAGACGGTGCAGTGTATTTGTGGCAGCGAGACAGCGGTAAACAGGTGGGCAAGCTAGATGGACACGCGAGTGTAGTAAATGTGGTGGTGCGTCACCCAATCCATTCGAACGTGATTGCCAGCGCAAGCGACGACAAGACCGTGCGTTTATGGTCTCTCAAGTCGCTAGAGTAAACCTGAAAACTGCAGTAGATGTTTAGCGTTTACTTGTTCAGCGTTTCTGCATCATATTAACACAGCTCGTCAAACTCATTTAGGTTCAGCTGGGGCCTATCAATGTGTAAATACCTACTGGTAGTGATTTACGAGGTACTCTAGTGCTAACCTACAGCTTATTTTTAAGAACACATGAGTATAACAAACTTTCACTCGTTATTGAGTAACAACTGGTTCTATTACGCAATCTGTCAAAGTGTTGCAATCTGACAGATCACTAAAAGTGTCGAAATCGTCATTCTTCACAGCAAGCGACGTCAGCACTACACCCATCGAGACAAGCGAGTTTACATTCCTGAAGCATATTCATCTCATCCAGCAGCATACCCTCTCCCTCCATCTTCATAGAGACTGATAAGTCACCATCCAGCGCTGCAATACCGTCGCAGTCGTCCCCATTAGCGCCCGCGGCATCAGCAGAAGACAGGCCACTTTTAGCTTGGACCGTACGCTTCAATGCGTAATATGTGAGCAAGTGGATCAACTGGCATACATCCACCAACTTCTGCAAGTAGCAGCGTTTTTTAAAGGAAGCACAGGTGGCATCTCCTACTGATACTTCAAGTTTAGTTCCAGAGAACAAATTGGTGTTGTGTTCAACTCAATCAGCACTTGGTTGCTATTCCCCAACAGACCTCCAGTGTTCATTTTAATACGCTCTGCTGCTGCAACGTCCACTCTGAGTTGAGCTAAACACAACCCGTCCAGCAATTGATCAGCACTTATGTCACTTCCATGTAAGCCAAACTGCACATACAAACAAAATCGGACCATTCACTGCATCGTCGTTGTCAGCAGCAATACGTTGACAAAACACGGTGCTTCTAGAGCAAAAGGTGGATAATAAAAGCACATGAAAGAACAAACGTCTTCCACATATTTTCATAACATTAGTTAACGTCTCCATCGAAATTGCAGCTACATGCCCATGTTTGTCGGCACACATCGCATCCAAGTACCGTATCGTACCGGTATAGGGAATGGTTGTAGTTCTTTGTACTCTTGAAGCATAATATATTATTATTAAACTATTAATAAAACAGATTCAAGTATAGAATGGATAACCGCATTTAGCAATTACTGGTGAATTAACCTCAAGAGGCTAAAGAGTTTTACAAATACCGATAATGACGACGGTTTTCTGATAGTAAGTGTTATGATATTATAGTTTACACCATCGTTGCCCTTTGGTTACCATCACATGCCTTCAATTAACGTTAGAGCAAGAAAAGTAACAAAGTAACAATTATTATAAAGAGAGAAAAATGAAGGATTTCTTAGAGCAAAAACTCAAGATCCCGATTATCAAGTTACTTCATTCTGGTGGTGCGTCTACGTGACATTTACATTCTCTTCTTCATCTCTTCTTTCTCTTTCTCTCTAATTCTTATTCTCTTTCTAGCTTCTCCTAATAGTATTGCTTTAGCTATGGCCTTTGGCGTTTCGGGAGGAATCTTTCCAATTCCCGGTGTCACGACTGTGCCTGTAATGGTCGCTATTTTCCTTTTTCGTTTAAATCCTGTAGCTGCTATGCTTACTAATTACCTTGTCACACCACTTAATCTTGCATCGATTCCCGTCTTCATGTACGTCAATCTGTTTGGTGACATTTATTATTAATAAAGCATTGTGGAGAATGGCTAGATAAGTTGTGGACTTTTGTTTGATTTGTTGCTGTAGCTACTACGGCAACGTCTTGTTTGGAGATGGTGATGGAGAAGGTGAATTTGCAATGAGCAGCTTTATGGAAGGTATAAAGACGGATACGATCAATACGCTGCTGCTTTTTCGCTTCACGCTCTTGCACGCTCTTTACATGTGGCTGCTTACCATGCCTGTGCTCACACTTGCCATATATGGTGTGTTGACACCTGTTTTGCGTCGTGTTATGCCCAAGAGTAAAGATGAAGGTAAACATGCTTAAGCAGGAGTATGCTGCTCAAGGCTCGTCATTTCACAACTCATCCTCGGTCTCTTTCATACATTTTGGCGAGCACAGCACTAAGTTTCATCAGTAGACTTTTCCATATCTCACATCTAGTCTAGCGTTGTTCTTGTTCAAGTCGATTCAAGGCAACAGTATGAGATTCACATGGCTAATGAGATGCAGGTAACATTAGTACTGAAAGACAACAACTTTGGGTTGCCATGAAGATAGAAACGTCAGCGGTCTACATTAGCTAGATGCTGCTTCAACTATACCAACTAGCGCATCTTGCTTCCGCTCTCATGGCATCAACAGAACGACCTTTCGCGTCGTCTAGGACCACAAGACGTCCTCTGACAATGTTAAGTGACTACCAAGTGCCAACAATTTAGCTATGACGTGACGTGTTATATAATCAATAATGCCCGCTGCAAATCTACTGCCAACTACATGCATTATATCACAAAGGATCTCTTTACCTTCACCTAATAATTACACCGATTTATCTATACATTTCGATAATTGACGTACAAAAGAAGTGAAGTGTAGATCAAGAACGACCCTGCCAAAGACACTTGTGTACTGCCGGTCATCTTGTCGACTCATTGATTTAGGTCCATTCATTTTTCTGGCTCGTTTGTTAAACGTGATCAAATCCTTCATGTTGATTCGATGAAATACAACTTGCTCAAAGCTTTCGATTGGTCAAGTGTATAGCCGTTACGTGATCATTTTTATTCAATCAAACGTGACAGCATTATAGTCCTGGGGAGAGATAGAATACGACACGACACACGTCAATTAGACTAAGGAAGGAGACAGAGAGAGAGAGAGAGGGAGAGAGAACAGTGAAAGAGACGATGACAAGCACTGATACATCCACGCAGGAAATGGCCGAGGTGTTGCGCCAAGAGCGTAAGAAACTGACACTATTTCGTCGTCCTCTGGGTGTTTTGTATCACTTTAGTATCGTACTTCTTCGCTTTTTCAAGTGGTTAATGCTACGAGTCCAGCGTAGTTCAGCTACACGCTTTGTGCTACTTCCATTGCTGCTATTGTGGATCATCGCATCGAGTCAAGATGGACCACATCATCAAATGCTTGACGAGTTTAATAAGAATATCAAGTTTGTAGTCTGGTGGGTTGGACTAGGTGTGCTCTCAAGCGTTGGGTTGGGAACAGGTATGCACTCGGGTATTCTTTTTCTCTTTCCACATATTTTCCTGGTTGTACAAGGTGCACAAGAATGTCGATCACTGGACTTTGACACTCGTCATCACATGTGGTTTCATCCATTTGAGGCCAATTGTAACAATGTTCCTGAAGTCTCTACCGTCACGTTTGTCGCTATTTTTTGGAAAGTGTTTCTCCCGTGTATGCTTTGGGGAGCAGGTACTGCAGCTGGAGAGATTCCACCCTATGCCCTAAGTCGTGCTGCTAAACTTGCTGGTCAACGCAATGAGGAGTTTGAGGAAATTGCCGAGTCGAAATCTCAGTACAATCTTATGAACAGCATGAAAGATTGGATGATTTGTTTCTTGGAAAAGCATGGTTTCTGGGGTGTTTTACTCATGTCAGCCTGGCCTAACATGGCCTTTGACCTGTGTGGCATTTGTTGTGGACATTTTCTTATGCCTTTCTGGACGTTCTTTGGTGCTACGCTTATTGGCAAGGCACTTATCAAGGTCAATATGCAAGCCGCGTTCTTCATCACCATCTTCACGGACGCGCATCTCAAACGAGTGGAAGCGCTTATTGGACGCATTACTCCCGAGCAGTGGGGTCTTGGCTCTCGCGTTAGCGAGTTTTTGCTCGAGTGTCGCGAGAAATTTCATTCGGCGCAGATCAAGGCAGCTGCAGAGCATGCAGGCACGGTTGCGACTTCTAGCAGCAGTCTGGTCTCCCAACTTGGCTCATTGGTCATGGTGGCCTTTATTGGCTACTTTGCCGTCTCTTGCATTGAGCAGTTTGCTCAGCAGCATGCAGCTGAGGAGGATGAGAAGCTGCTTAAGAAACAGAAATGAACGTTGCGTACACCAGCATGCCTTGTCGAGACAAAGCAACGCGTGAGAAACTCCGTATAATTGTTTATCTACGACGTAACGAAAGAATGAACAAAGTTTACAAGCTTGGCGAGGGACATCGGGATAAAGGTTATTGCACGTTGGGATCTACATCTTACCGCTATTTGTCGCTTTAGAATAGAGAGCATCCGAAATGTTTGATGAAAACGATGCATTGATAACGCGTAATTACTTGAACAAAGATTGGAGCTTGATATCTGCTTGCTCTGTGTGTTCTGTAGTGTCTTCAACATCAACAAGTAGTAAATATGTGGCCGAGCTATTCTGTCACCAACCTTCAAGACGATCTTTGAATGCGTCGTGCTTATACTGCATCAACGATCCATGCCATGACGAACATTTTGTGCACTTAGCGAGTTGGATGTAGTTGAGATTTCATTCAACAACTTGTCGCTTGTTGCCTACAACAAATTTGAGCTGCAACCTTGATAGCATCAATGCTAATGATGGGGTTGTCGTGTACGATGTTGTCGATGTGCAGGCTCACAACAACGAGAACGGAAAAATATCATTGATAAGTTCGCGCAGCCGTGTCTTGACGTCAAACAATCAACATAACGCCATCCGCAGAATTGTTTTACGGGCGAAGTGTGTTGCTATCAAGCAGATTACCACAGTATGTTTTGATAGCATGGAGCCTATTGCTGTGCGGATGTGTCAGTGTATTCAGCGATTAGTGCCGTGAGCGCGTCGTACGTGTAGAGCGAAGACGTGTGACTATCACTCCACATAACCGCAAAGGCATAGTTACCCTAATTCCACGTGCAGTTAGTAGTCAATCATAGTTTACATTGCATACAGCTTAACAAACCTTGCGTTCGACTGAAATCGGGATGATATCATTTGAAATGGTAGCAGGGTCCAAAATCTGCACGAACAGAACCGTTAAACCAGAAAGCATCTCATCAAAGCCAAGCAAAATCACACCTGTTCTCCAGTAAACTCGTTGATACATTGAGCGCACCGGCATCTGTAGTGATCATCTCGCACAATCTAGTCAAAAGTTCAGCACCAATAGAGCACATTTCTACTTCGAATCAATGTACCGAGCTCGGAAATCAGCGGGGTGAACTACGGCCTCTTTTGCCTCGTTTAGACTGTACGAACGGAGAATGATGCCACGGTTCTTGTCATAGAGCAGGTCTGGCGCCAGGCGTGCGTTATACTTCAGAACCACGAGTTCCTTCGCAACCTGGCAATAGCAGTTAATCAAAGGGCAGAACCACCGATATGTTGTCACTTACTGTGGTGGCTAGCAAGTCGTAAGTCTTTGCTTCCTCCGAAGACAGTTCTGACAGAACAAAGGGACTGCAAGCAAGCGAGGTCAGATCACACGTGAAGGCGAGCATACTCCTTACGATTATTCACAGACCGTCCAGAATCACCAGATGTACTGAACTGCTGTAAGATAGGCAGCTTAAACACGTTTCTCATGTTGTACTTATCAACAAGCTCCTGTGTGTGTCCTGGGCCTGCAGCAATGAAGATTCACCAGATGCATAAACAACGTGTCACGGTAGTAAACAAAAAGCGACGAACTACAGACCAAACGGAAAGTGTCGTTGTCCATGAGAGCAATCGAAGTAAGACATATTCTCCACCACCGCTGCCGTTTTCACCTTAATCATAGCCACTTGAATGTTAGCTAGACGCACTCGCAACTTCATGTTGATTTGCCATACCTTTAAATCATCAAACATCGCAATTCCCTTCTCTACGTCGACAAAGCTAGACAGCCAGAGCTATTTTAGATTGCGCACAATATCATATCGAAAGCAGCAGTCCATACCTAAGTCTCTGCGGTGTTGTGACGACAACTGCGGCTGAAATAGCCATTTGCTGCGATAACGAAATTTGAATGTCCCCTGTTCCTGGTGGCATATCCACGACCAAATAATCGAGGTCACCCCATTCCGTACCAAGGACAAGCTGATCAATCAGCTTTGAGACCATCGGTCCACGCATCACAGCGGCTCCAACTCCTATTTTTCGACCGAGTGTACACGTAACAATGCATCTCAGTAGAAGAACATGTTTGATCCAGTACAACCACATGCAGCAGCATTCGTCCTACCTCCAGCACCTGGAGCAGCACGCTGGTTTACAAAGCCAAAAGACATGCATTTGACACCCTCGTACTCTACCGGTTCGACAAAATTCTTGACCTTTCTCGACGGACGAATAGTTCGGTCTTCCAGTGAGATCATAGTAGGCAAACTCGGTCCATGAATGTCGGCATCTAAAATACCCACTCGAGCACCACGCTTCGCCAGGCTTAGTAAGCACACAAAACAAACAGCTTATTGTCATTCACACGTGCTCATCAATCTCTTTCTCTGCACCGTTGTATTACGTCACCTAAAGGCCAAGTTCACTGCCACCGTGGACTTTCCTACTCCACCCTTGCAACTAGACACAGCAATAATGTCCGAAACGTAAGCTAGCGATGAGAAGCGCCCAGCACGAGCGTTACGTGGTCGATACTTTGTGATCTCAAAGTTTGTGGTTTTGACCCATTCAAGCTCGTTTACAGCAAGTTCTGCGTCCTTTTTCCACTATGTAGACATATAATAACAATACCAATTAGTAAGCAGTATAGCTAGAGGGTGAGGAGCATAGGAATTCACTAGTCAATGAACCTGATAGGCCAGTTCCAATAGGACTGGTGATGACGTTTCAATCTTGCACGTGACTTGGCCGTTTTCAGGTGTGACACAGAGGTCCTTTACAGCAGTAAAATCAATCATTGTATTAGTGATAGCACACTTGAAAAAAGGTATGACCATATGCATGAATCCCTTGACGTCGTACCTTGACACGACCTAAGGACACAATGTTACCCAGTCCTAATCCATCTGACACACTACGAAGTTTCTCCAATACTTGAGTCTCGAATTGAGCCACTTGACGTGTTGAAAAGGCACGGAATGAATGAAGTGTCAGCAGAAATACTGAACGAGTAGCTTTATGCTGCAGCATGTTTGACTGACACGTCGTTGGATGTGTACCACAGAAGACAGATGAATGGCTACAGTTTTTGATACGCTTCAAGATAAGATAGATAGATAGGTGTAATGGCTGTTGGAGGATTGTTACATGTGCATCATCGAGGTAAAGGTCGAGAAATTGCAAAAGTAAGGAATGTATTGAATCAAGAAGAAGAAATGGTGAGTCTAAGTTGCATCCATGACGAATTGAGGCAGCTGTAAGTAGTTTGTGGCGCTATAGAAGAGATTCATGTATTGCTTCGAGATTGACGTTGACTGCGTAACTTGTAAAGGACAGATATAGACACAGACCGGTTTGGCAGATGCAGATGCACAAGTGATACTGATAAAGAGGCAACATAAGACGCAGAAGACCTGAAGGACAAGAAGCGAAAGGAAAGAAGCTTACTACAATCGACGATGTTACAGTAGTGATCACGTTTGCTATATGAACCCTTGCCAAAACTTGGCAACAACGCTCCATTTTTCTTCCTTTAGCAACTTAAGACTGTGCAAGATAGCAAACCATAGAATGAAGACGATACAAACACGCAAAAGATTCTGCATGTTGATACTGAAGCGTAACAGCCTCACCACTGTCGCGCAAATGGTCGAGTTGGCTGACATACTCGAGTAATCACGCATAGCACAGCGCTCGCCAATGATGCTGCTGTCCATGACGCTCTATATTATGGCGTAAAGCTTGCTCTAACACAGAAAATTGTAACAATATGACTACATGACTTCTTGGTAAGCAATTGAATCCACACCAACCAAAAATTCATCGTAATCATTCAAGCAAGGTAATCATTCTTTTCTCTCCCATGTAACAATTAGCCTTTTATTTTTAAATTTAAACATTTAGCTTAAAATTTCTAAAATTTGGCAAGGACTAAAATATAGCAATTACTCAAGTACACTAAAACGTAGCAATCAAACAAGTACATTGTTAAAGAATGGCAGTCATCACCTTCACGCCTCTATACGGTGTGCATTCTAGCGTACTTTGCTGTGCATATTTATTAGAAGTAGATGAAGTATGTATTTTACTTGATTGTGGCTGGACGGATGAGTATAATGTGGATCTATTGAAACCATTGCAGCGTGTGATTGATCGGATTGATCTCGTGCTAGTTTCCCACTTGGATTTGGCACATATGGGAGCTTTACCCTATGCTATGGGTAAATTAGGACTTAAAGCGCCTATATATGGCACACTACCTGTCCATCGAATGGGTCAAATTGCTCTATATGATGCATTCCAGGCCAAGACGAAACACGACAGCGATTTCTCTCTCTTTTCGTTGGACGATGTTGATTTAGTTTTCGAGAATTTTAAGCAGTTGAAATACTCGGAGAAATTGACATTGACAAGATCAGGAGAAGGAATTGTTATTACGCCTCATGTAGCAGGTCATCTTATTGGTGGCGCACTGTGGCGAATTATGAAGGAAACGGTGAGCTATCAAGGGTTCAAATGGGGTGATGCGGACAAATACGTTTTTCATTTGGCATTTGGTGATCTATCTGGTGATTGATCTTGCAGGATGATATTATTTATGCTGTGGACTATAACCACCGCTCGGAGCATGTGTTACAAAAGACGATTTTGGACTCGTTTACGTGAGGTTTCGATGAATGCAGCAGCCAGTGCTCCTCCATTTTTTATGGTCTGCTGATATTGTGAATTTATATTCGATGCTTTTTGTTCTAGACGTCCAACTCTGCTCATTACAGACTCAATGAATCTTCACGCAGAGCAACCAAAGCTTAAGGACCGAGACAGCAAGGTTTTGCTTCCAAGTTCTGCTGGTACGGGATACACTGAGTCTAAACTAATTTTTTGTCGTTTACTTGTGCAGATCATGATGGAAATTTTGAAAACAGTTCGGAGTGGAGGAAATGTGTTGATTCCGACCGATAGCTCTGGCCGTGTGCTGGAGTTAATGCGGGTGTTGGACCAGTACTGGATTCAGAACAAGTAAATGGCAGGCACTTGTGTGGTGTTTGTCGAGCAATGTAGTAAACTTTATTTTGTTATGGTGGTGTAGGCTACGCGATCCGATTGCGCTTCTCCATGATATGAGTTATTACACGCCAAAGGCTGCGCAAGCAATGCTGGAGTGGTGCAATGACCGCATTGCAAAGAACTTTGACGTCGGTCGTCAGAATCCGTTTCAATTCTCGTACGTGTGAGCTTGTCGGAATAAACGTAGTGGAAAGTAGGATGATTTAAAGTTGTTTCGAAAAACTATGCATGTAGCCACATTCATTTGGTGCACACGTTGGAAGAACTGGATGCTCTCCCAAGTCCAAAGGTGCGCCAGAGCTTTGATTCGTGTTATACGAGAGTTTGGTTACTTGACCATCGTGTTTTTACTTTATAGGTGGTTTTGGCTACTTCACCAAGTTTAGAATGTGGCTTTGCAAAAGACATTTTTATTCGCTGGGCTCCTGATTCCCGGAACAGCATCATTTTTGCTTCAACGACGCAAGAAACATCGTTTGCATCTCGTGTACTGAAGCTTGCAAAGGGCCCGTCAGCAGAGAAAATAATGTCATGTACAGTGAAAGAAAAAGTGTTCTTGGAAGGAGCAGAGCTTGCACTGTATGAAGTAAAGGAACGAAAACGTCTTCGGGCTGAGGCTGAACACAAGGCGAAGGAGATTGAAGAGGCAGCTATGGAAGATATGATGATGGGAATTGAAGACTTTGAATCCGAGTCGGAAGAAGAGGAAGCTACACAGCAAGAAGGTACGTGGTGAAGCACTTTACTGTCATGTGACTTTTTGTTTCTAACCAACGTTGCAGTTCAACTTCGGGGTACGTTCAAGGTCGGTCTGGGGCAGTTTGCATCGGTCCGGTATCCGATGTTCTTTGCTGTAGAGCCCAAGATAGAGTGGGATGAATATGGAGAGGTAGGCCAACACAATTGTGCAAGGGCTGCAATCTGCTTAAGGTAACTTTTCTTTTTTATCGGCTATCGATAGATTATCAACCCGGACGACTTCAAGGACGCTACTTTGGCAAACCGTCAAGCGCGTCGCAACATCATCGAAGATGCGGATAGGGATGAGGACATGGAAAACGCTGACCAGGAGACTCCTGTTGAAAGCCGGCCAACTAAAACAATCACAAACGAAGTCGTCGTCAATGTACGAGCTCGGCTGCCACCCTTGCGAGTGATGTTTTTGGGCTAAAGCATGTCTTCTTGTGTTATTCAGATCGCAGCTCGCATCATGCAAGTTGACTTTGACGGTGTTGCAGACGGTCGAGCGATTCGAAATTGCTTGGGCAATGTAAAGCCTCGAAAGCTCATTTTGGTTCACGGTACGGAGCAGACAACGAACGAGCTTAAAGAGTTTGTGGAATCGTCAATTCCAATGTGCGAAGCCGTATTTACTCCGAATGTAATGGAATGTATTGATATCGAGTCCGATACAAATGTGTACAAGTTATCTCTCAAAGAGTCTTTATATACGTCTGCAGTATTCCGGAAGGTACATCTCCAATTGTGCTGTCTTCTTCATGAGGTCTTTGTTAGTAACCAAAGTGCATGTTTTTTTTTGTGCTGAGCAGGTTGGCAGCCACGAAGTCGCCTACGTCACTGGCTTGTTTTCTCTATCTGAGAGCAGTTCTGTACCAGTACTACAACCTTTAAACGAAAATGGTGGCCAAACGACGCACGAGCCCATTTTGCTTAGCGATGGCAAAATGAAGCTGGACGTGATGAAGCAGGTGCTTGGGAAGGCAGGTTTTCAGGCGAAATTTCGTGGTGGTATGTTGGTATGCAACGATGGAGTTGTGCTCAAACGTGCAATGAATAATGAGATAGTGATGGAAGGTACACTGTCCAAGAACTATTATCGCATTAGGGCTCTGCTATATGAGCAATTTACGCTTGTATAGTCCAAACTGTCGATGTGAAAACCCGATAACATGAAGTAGCTGCAAAGTTTGGTTTTTGGGCATTTCACCAGATTAAAAAATCTTGATGATAATAAGTTTTGAAGGATATGAAATCTCTGACCTGCATTCTTTAATTATAGTAAGAATCAAATATAATTATAAAATTAGGTGACATACAACTGCGCATGCATAAAACCTATGTGAAACGATATCCTTATAGACTCGATTACAGAAGGGTAAAGAGCTTAATCTGTGGCTCAGCATTGTCATTCGATGAGCAACATGTTTGCGCTCCAGTGGCACATGACGCGCTCTGGCGCTCATCAAGTGGCGTGTTTCTCAGCTGCTGCTGCGACTACGACTACTGCTACAACCCATGAAGTTGCTTCAAATATTCTACAGCTAGTTGTGCGCAAGACTGAGGGCTCACGTGCATCTCGACGACTGCGCAAGCAAGGCTTTCTACCTGGTGTCCTCTACGGTGAGGGTGAAGATGGCAAGGATGAGCGCGTGCTTGTCTCATTTCCAACACGTTCTTTTGAACGAATGCATCGTAAGCTTTGGACTTCTATTGAGAATCAGGTGTTTCAGGTGCAGGTGGATGATCAATTACCAGTTAAGGCCTACATGCGGGATGTGCAGCTGGATCCCGTGACGGATGTGCCCTTGGCTGTTAACTTTTTGCGCTACAAACCCGGTCGTATCATGTCCATTCCAATCACGTATTTGAATGAAGAAAGCAGTCCTGGTCTTAAGCGTGGAGGCTATATCAATCACATTTACCATGCGCTTGAGTGCACTATCTTTACAGACGACATCCCTGCCACGTTGCAAATTGACGTCAATGGTCTGCACGTAGGCGACAAGGTATACTTGGAGTCCATCAAGCTTCCGGAAGGCGTGAAGGCCAATATTCCGGAGGGATCGCTTGTCGCCAAAATTGCTGGTCGTCGTGGTCTTATTCCACGCGTGGAGACTGTGGTCGAGGAAGTGGTGGAGCAGAAGGAAGAGGAGGAGGACGACGAAGAGTTTGATGACTGGAACGACATCTTTTAGATAATTACGGATGTAGAAGATAAACTGTGCGACGTGACGTGGAAGGGAAAGAGCTCCAAGCATCTGGACTAGGTTGTTATGAGCAGGTGAATTGGGCTGGTCGCTGTCTGCTTTTCTGTTCAGGGTATTGATGTTGGCAATATCGTGTATGAGGAATCCTTTTCTGCAGCATTTTCAATAGAGTTTCCGAATTTGGCATGTATGTTGTTGTTTGCCAAACCAGGCAGCAGCGTAAAAGCATTTGCTTAAGGTATATTGGTGCCCTTTAGTTTGTATGACGTCTACTCCTTGGATAGTGTTCCATTTGTCTTTCCTATCGTCATTGTTTTGAAAAAAGACGCACTATCAGGCAATACTTTCTTGTCCTTCTTCACTTTACTCTCCTCCACAACCTCTGCTCGGATGGGAAAATCTTCACGTAGCCAATCCAGCGACGCCGTTGTCTGAATCGTGCGCGTCACATCTGATGCCTTGATCTGCCGTTTGTTGCGGTACATTGCCTGTTCATAGCTCTTTGTGCCTAGAAACTGAGCAAACAATTCCTGCACAAGACAAAATGATTAATTCTACTATCTCTCATTTGTTTACATCATTCCAGCCAAGTTACGTCCGTACCGATGCCTTTGCAATTGCAACCAGCGCATCTTTTGAAACCTTGCCAACATCTGGATCACTTTGTACAATCTTCCTCACTCTTCCTATCGGATAAATACAAGCATTGGACTCGTACGTGATCGAATGATCAGCAGTTGCTATAGGCTTTTCATTAACCTGTAACGTATCTAGCAATTCCTGCTGGTATCGTGCCTTGTCCTTAATGGCCAACTCTACATAAATGCCCTTCTCTTCAGACTTGAGTGCATTCCACTGTTTGCTAATAATCTTTTGAATATCACCAATACGAACACCTGGATTTAAATTCATGACCTCTTTTCTTTTCTCATTGCAATAGATTAAGTACGAACTCTGTGGCTTCTTAATAGCTTTCGTCATGATTCTAACTTTGTATAATGACGATAATAAAAAAACGTATTATATTGAAATGTCGTCAGTAATATAAAATTATATTTTACCACACAATTCACAAAAGTCTTAACCTTATCAATAAATTACATCGTTTGTGTTTGTGTGTGCTTGTTCTCTTCCATCCACTCTTAACAATGGGCAGCACTGGCAGCAAAAGCACTAAAGCATCACATGATAAGAAACAACAAACTTCAGTTCATGTTGTTTCGATGAAGCATGAAGTGTTGGGTATTGTCTTAGATGGTCTTATGCTTTATACTATGTATCACACGTCTAAATACCTTTATCGAGTATGTTGTTTCCAAGAATTACAGAGTGTGTTTTTTATTTTCGTTATTTATTTTCTTGTAAACTAAATGATTGTTATTTGTATACATGTATACATGTCTATTAAACAGCAATTAAAGCCAATGATGGATGAATGGACTAAAGGACATGATAGTCAAGCCAGATTACAGAATCGATTACAGCGAGCGGGTCGTCGTGTAATTCAAACGAATTACTTTGAAAATATTATTGCCGGTGATATCGTAGACCCGCAAGATATTGACGTATCATTTGATGATATTGGTGGTTTAGAACGCCAGAAACGTGATATTCATGATTTGGTGGTACTTCCACTCAAAAGCCCAGAATTTTTTGCTTCTCGTGGCAAATTGCTCACAGTTCCCAAAGGCATTTTACTTTATGGAAAACCCGGCACTGGTAAGACCATGTTGGCAAAGGCTATTGCGAAAGAGTCTGGTGCTTTTTTCATTAATCTCAAGATTAGTACTATCATGAGCAAGTGGTTTGGCGAATCGCAGAAGCTCGTGCGCGCTGCATTTACGCTCGCTCGGAAGTTGGCACCGTGTATCATTTTTATTGATGAAGTGGACTCGTTCATGGGAATCCGAGGTGGCGTATCTGACCCGACGTTTTCATCAATGAAAACGGTGAGTATTGCGGTTGGATTTGTGTGATGGGTATTGTGTAGGCTGTGTTAATCTGACCTGCTGCTTACCTTGTTGTTGCTGTAGGAATTCTTGGCATTGTGGGATGGTTTTACTGAAATGAGCAACGAGAATGATGGTGGGTTTGGTGTCATTATTATGGGTGCGACAAACCGTCCTGGTGACGTGGACCCAGCCTTTCTTCGCCGCATGCCTCGCACGTTTGAGATTGGACTACCTAACCGACCACAGCGTGAGAAGATACTTCGGCTGCAGCTCAAGTCGGAGCAAGTAGACGACGAATTTGATTTCAACAAGCTCGCCATTGACACTGTATATTATAGTGGTAGTGATTTAAAGGAGTTGTGTCGCGCCGCCTTAATGATTCCACTTCGTGAACATATTGACAATTGCCGTGCGGCAACAGAAGAAGCTGCAAAGGGTCGACATGCTGAAGACGAAAAGCCCCAGATTTACGATGAAGCTGCTCGGCCCGAGCCCCCTGCAATGCGTCCACTGTTGATGGTTGACTTTGACGAAGCAAGAACAATGGTGCAACCAACAGGTGCGACAGCATATGCGTACGAAAACGGGCACGAGAAAAAGCCCTCTCGGCAAGCGTCCACCGACCCCGGGATATCCATCGACCCGGACATGTTCGCGGCGGTTATGGCTGCAGGACTGCAGAACATGATGCAGCATAGCCGTAACACCGCCTCGCCGTACGAGTAATTGTGAAATGTGAGATTATCTTAGATGAATAAACGCTTTCTGAGTACAAACTCGTTGTGAGCCTGTTCGTCCACTTGCGCAATACCTAGCAGCTCTGGTGAGGATGGGTGATAAATACGAATAGGCTTGCCTCTAATAGGCTTGTAAGGCTCCACATATTCAATTTCGTCTGCCAAAATTGTCACGATACCGCCATGTAACCAACGCTGGGCCGCTTGACGAGACAATTCGAGAAATGGAAGATGCTGAAGCATGCTTTCAATCGACTGAAGAGGGGAGTGTCCTCCCTGTGCATAGAAATAAAACATTTCAGACAACTCGATCGTCAATAAATCATGATTCATTACACTAAGGCAGCCTACCTCTACTTGAACTCGAATCTCATCCAAGTTGAGGCTATTGGTGATGGTGAAGATTCCACTTCGAGTCCGCACGAGCTCCGCAAGCGTTCCTCCAGCACAAAAGTCACCAGTACGGTTGCGCAAATTGCACGTTGAATCCACTCGCTCGAGTGGCACGACCAGTGCCTCGCCACATTCACGTGCAATTGACCTGATGTACGTGCCTCCTCCACAGACAACACGAATTGTCACCTATCGTCATTCAATTAGTTGTTTATTCCTTTACCCAGTTTTTCCACAGCACTTGAAACAACCGACCTCAGGATAATTTCCTTCTACAAACTTTTGTACATCAATTTGCTCAATCTGTACTCGTCTTGGCGCGATCTCAAAGTCCTGCATAATGCATCATCCTTCAATAATTCTTGCTCTTTTCACCACAAACCACGCGACCAATCGCTTTCTGTCCAATCCTTACCTTTTCTGCTCTCACTAGTTTATAACACCTCACTCCATCTTTTTTAATAGCACTCACTCGTGGAGGAAATTGATCAATTCTTCCAATGAATCTACATCAATTTCATTGTCAGTATTAGAGATTTTCATTCACTGTATCCTTTCTAGTCTAATTACCTTTGTAAACTTATATGTACCGCTTTTTCCTTAACCCATGAAACAGGATCTTGTGTCCTAATTTTACCAGTAATATCATCGGTATCCGTTGTAATGCCAAGACGAATCACACCTTTATATTCTTTCTCACTTGTTAAATATTGTAAAAAACGTGTTGCGCGACCCACAGCCACTGTCAAGACACCCGTCGCCATTGGATCTAATGTTCCACCGTGTCCAATCTGCTTTATTTGATATATTTGACGTATACCGTCTACACATTGGTGTGATGTAATACCCGCTGGTTTATATACATTTAAAAAGCCACTTGGTTTCATTAATACTATTCCTAAAAGCAGTAGTACTATCAGTAGTAGTAGTAGTAGTCTCAGCAGCAGTAGTAGTAGTAGTAGTAGGAATAGTCAGTAGAAATAGTACTGGGTTTCTAAAGTTTGTCTAACATGAAATCTAGTGGCTATTATTTTATGGTATTATTATTCTTATCTGCCAATCAAAATACTTTTTTTGATTCCATTCACATTGCAGCATCAATGCGAGTACTCAACGTCGCTGAAAAGCCGTCCGTTGCCAAAGAGATTGCTACTATTTTGTCCTCTGGTCATTCACATCGTGTGTGTGTTGTATCTATTCTTATGTATCAATCCCCTTGTATTTTTTTACTCTTTACTATCACATACATGAATCTACAAGTATAAATTCTTACCATGAATGTATGTGTTTGTTCTCTAATCACTCGCTCCATTCTTCTAGCGCCCTGGATTCTCCAAGTATAATGCACTTTATGAGTTTCCATATCAAATTCAAGGACAAAACGTTCAAATGGTCGTAACATCTGTAACTGGACATATAATGGAGCTTGATTTTGACACAAGTGTCAGAAGTTGGTACTCTTGTGATCCACTGGAGCTCTTTACAGCTCCCGTAGCTAAAAAAATACGTAGCGATGAGACTCAAAAAAAGATTGAAAAGACACTATGGAACGAGGCAAAGCAAAGTCAGGTAATGTACACTCTATATTGTGATTTGTTATCATACACTGTTTTACTTTTGTCGTTATGTAGTGGCTCGTGCTGTGGCTAGATTGCGACCGTGAAGGAGAGAACATTGCCTACGAAGTTAAAGGAATATGTGAAAAATCTAACCGGCAAATACGCGTTTTTCGCGCCCGTTTTTCGGCTCTAATACCTCGCGATATCATTTACGCAGTGCAACACTTGTCAGAGCCCAATGAAAAACTCTCACTTGCAGTTGACGCTCGATCGGAAATTGATTTAAGAATTGGCGCAGCATTCACAAGATTTCAGACAATGCGCATTCAAAGCAAATTTCCCACACTCAAGCGGGATAGGAGTGTCATTAGCTACGGTCCGTGCCAATTTCCTACACTAGGTTTCGTTGTTGAACGATATCTCATGGTACAGAATTTTGAACGCGAGACATTCTACTACATTAGCGTAACACACCAGCAGAGTGATCAACCAGGCGCACCGACAACGGCCTTTAAGTGGAAGCGTGGCCACCTTTTCGACCGTTTGGCATGCTTATGCATTTATGAGAGCTTAGTGGAGAGCCAAAGAGCAACAATTGAGTTGGTCGATAAGCGTCCGTCTTGGAAACGAAAGCCCTTGCCCCTTACAACGGTAGAGTTACAGAAACGAGCGTCGCGGTGGTTACGGATCTCGTCGGAGGCAACGATGAAGGCAGCAGAAAGTTTGTACAATAAGGGTTTAATTAGCTACCCCCGAACGGAGACGAGCGCATTCAAAACAGGCACGGATCTTATGGGCTTAGTGCGGCTGCACGAAAATCATCAGCAATGGCAAAACTATGTGAAACGTCAGCTGCTAGATGGAGGTAAATACGAAGCGCCCCGGCACGGCAAGTCTGATGATCAAGCACATCCTCCGATTCACCCAACTAAGAGTGTCGACATCAATACATTATCAGATCCAAACGAGAAGAAGGTGTATGAATTTGTCGCTCTTCATTTCTTAGCGTGCTGTAGTCGGGATGCCAAAGGCAGTCAGACAAATGTAGTCATGAGAACGATGGGCGAGACTTTTACAGCATCCGGACTGATGGTGGAGGAGCGAAATTACTTAGATATTTACAAGTATGAGAACTGGAACGCGTCAGCAATTCCAGTTTATCAGCGGGGAGATGTATTTCGTCCGTCAACTGTTGTAATGCTTAGTGGAGAGACAAATCCGCCACCCCTTCTGTCGGAGGCTGATCTGATTGCAAAAATGGATACAAATGGAATTGGCACTGATGCTACCATCGCTGAGCACATTAAAACTATTTTGAAGCGTGAGTATGCCATCAAGGTGAACAACAACACCCAGTTCAAACCTACAACATTGGGGCTGGCGCTAGTTTTGTCGTACGAGCACATGGGCCTCGAGTTGGCGAAACCGGTCCTTCGTGCAGCGGTACGTTTGAAATTCAAATTCCCATCTTGACTTCTGCTGAAGTAATTTTTTTTGTCTTTGCCAGATGGAGAATGATTGTAAAGCGATTTCGTTGGGGCAAAAGCAAATGAAAGAAGTGGTGCAGTCGTGCATGGATCAGGTACTTTTGTCATCCAATCACTCGCGTTCGCGTAAGTTTTGACAGTACGCAATTTGCTTCGTCGCAGATGAAGAAGATTTTTATTGAAGTCAGCCGTCGCGCAATTGTGCTGGACCAGACTTTTTCAGAACACTTTGGCCAAGCAGTGAGCGACACCGTGTTGCCGTCTTTGGATATGCTTCAGACCGCTAGAGATAGCGGATCTCGTTTGCCTTTTCGAAAAGAAGAAATAAATCGGAGCTCTAATTCCAACTACACAGCATATGAAAGCGAGGATGCCGGTTCAATTGTTGACAACGCAAACCCAGAAGGACGGCGAAAACGTCATCAGATTGTACCACAATCTTTTGACCCTTTGCAGGAGGAACTGATGCCACCACATTATGTGCCAAGCATGACTGCAGACGTACCTCAGTGCGAAGTTCACGGTTTGCCCTGCTTCCAACGGAAGGTGGCTCGCGACGGCCGGAATATAGGACGCATGTTTTACGTCTGCCCGCTGCCTCAAGGGGAAAAGTGCAATTTTTTTGCTTGGGTATCCGAAACCAACCCAAGCGTTAATCCTGTTGTTAAGTGTCCTGGTCACGATGAACCGTGTGACGAGCGATCAGTCAAGAAGGACGGTCCTAACAAGGGACGACAGTTTTTTACCTGCCGACGTAGCCTAACAGACAATAGCTGCGGATATTTTCAGTGGAAGGATGAAGTGACAGAGGGACATGGTAGGTCAGCGATACAGTCTACTCCGAGAGTTGCTGGCGCATCAAGTACTACACCAAGGTGTTCCGGACATAATACTGCCTGCGACTTGCGCACAACCAGAAAGGCTGGTCCAAACCAAAATCGCGAGTTTTATTCTTGCTGTTTTCAGGGAGCAGCTAGCTGTGGATACTTCGAGTGGAAGGACGAGCAGCATCGACAGGCCATTTCTTCTTCCATGCCATCTTCTGGGAGCTGCGGAGGTGACAGTGGATTGCCCACGTGTGAGTGCAGCCTAATTAGTATCTTGCTGACATGTAAGAGTGGTGTGAATAAGGGTCGAACCTTTTACAAATGTCCAAATCCTCAGGGCAGTCAATGTAATTTTTTCCAGTGGGGATCATAGTGTTCCTCAATTCAGTATTAAAGCTCGCGCCACCGTCTACCGAATCTTCAGATGCTACTCTTCGAAACCTTCAACATGGCTGCTACAACAGGTAGCATGGCTGTCCTTCCTTGTGCCATTGGTCGTTGTCTGTCGCACAGAAAAAGTACGCCCCTAGTGCAGCCAATTCGTTGTCTTCAACGCTCATCATTCGATTGGCACACTGTAATAAATCTTCTACAATATCGACATTCTCGTCTCGTCGATTTACCTGCTTAAGCGTTAGGTACTCAGTCAGCTGCTCCATTGGATCTTTAAGCTCCAGAATACGCTTCATTCTATCAATACGCTGTTGCAATGTCTTGTCTGCCTCCTGCATCTTTTTCTCAATTACTAAGACGCGTTGCAGATAATACTGACGCTCGTGTTCATTCGTCTTTAGAGTTGACAACTCATCTTGTTCTTCTTCTTCCTTCTGTATCCTTGCCAATCGATTATATTGATCATTATTATATACTACCTCGACTTGATTCGTCTCTACGATATGACGCTGGATTTGTGTCTCTAGACAAATTGGTTCACCCACTAGGTCATCATCATACACGCCTTCGTCCAACTGGAGGAAAGTGTCCATTTTGGCAAACTAGCCAAAAGTATAACAGCCAATCACGAATAGACAAATTCTTTTCAGTAATTAGCACTGTCTTTGGACGGTGATAACACCAGCATCTCTTCCACCGACATGGTAAAAGAGATGCTGGTGGTGTAAGTGGTAGTGACCAACAGGTTGCCGCGTTTTGGAACCATATTTTAGTGGAAGATGGACTTACGGACGCGTATATGATGCGTCTTATAGTTGCAAAACGATATTACGCAAGCAGATTTCCCAAGGCACTTCATAACATGCCTTCCCATTTTTCAACCAAATCGAACAGCGTGTGGTGGAGAGGTGGCTACAAAAAACTCTGTGATCTTGACCCTATACTAGCGCTCTCACTGTCGACTTAAGAAGGGAGTTGTCCTTCTTCACCTTGTGTACCCGTCAATTGGGCGGGTTGCACTCTCCTCGGTAGGCTAGATCCAATCTTGATCGTGATGGGGTTTGGATCAAAGGTGGTATATCGCGTGGAAATTCTTCACGCGACCACAGTACACACTGGCGCTAAAAGCTGCCTTAATACACCCTAGATCTTCCAGTTCCCTTTCTTGTTTGTCCTTTTGAGCCGTCTAGTAGATCTGCTGACCACTTGAGCCGTCTAGTAGATCTCTGACCACTTGAGCCGTCTAGTAGATCTGCTGACCACTTGAGCCGTCTCGTAGAGGCCCCTTGCTTGAACGCTGCGTCCGATTGCAGTTGACTTGATTGGATAGACTTGAACCTCTGGCCAAAATCTTCCAGGGGTGATCTCCTATACTAATGTGTACCCTTTATTAACGGGTGGCCAACAATCAAACCCGAACGAGATAAGATCACGCGTACCTTAGATGCTACCTATGTATTACATAAATACCAATGCTAAAACTAGCTTAATGTAAATTACTACCAAATACCAATCTACATCTAGCTTAATGTAAATTACTAACTATGCGTCGCCTGATCGGCGATCACATTCTGGGGTATGTGGTCTACACCACGCGATCCGATCCGCTGACGACTCGATCGGCGACCGCAATCCGGAGTATGTGGTTCACACCATGCGATCCGATCCGCTAAAGGCTCGATATGCGAACGCGATCCGAAAGTTGTTGTGCACTACCACGTGATCCGATCTGCTGAAGACTTGGTCTGCGATTGGATTCTGGGGCATGTGTTCCACATGATCCAATTCGTAGACAACTTGATCGACTGGTCCCGATTGCGATTCTCATGTGTTGTCCACATCGTGTGATCTATTTGTTGACCAGTGACGTGTGAATCGGACTTACCAGAATAATTGTATCGCCCTATCGCCTTGCAAAAGGGCCATTCTCACAATTTTCACTTCTCCACAGTCGTCTTCTGCACTAGTAATCGACATCCAGAGTCAAAGTACCCGTGCATCCAAGTCTTCTTCCCTATGAATCCTGCGACCTCTGCCTATCTTTATCCATCTTCGTCTTCCTCTTAAGTCGCATGTCTTCCTCGATCGTGATCTATTCTGATCTTGCCGGATCGAGATCTGCTCGATCTGGTCCGAAGCCCGATTTTGAGATGTCTGATTTGGCTGATCTCCTTTCTCCGTCCAGATCCTGGTCTTTTGACACAATCTCCTTAGTTGGAGACCTAAGTTTCGTAAAAAAAAACAAAATTGGCAGATTTGATCAAGGAAATATTATCGTCCAGGATCATCCGACTCCATCGACATCACCATGGTCATCACCGATCGGGGTGATTGCCAAGAAGAATAGCGTGGATAAAAACTGAATATTGATTATCAACGAGTGATACAGCTCACTAGATTAATGGTAGATCTTATGCCGTTGATCAGTGAGCTAATTCAAGATATGGACTAGGCGATGTGGTATTGCTCTTTAGATATGACAAGTGGATTCTGAGTTATGCAAATGACAGAACGTGCAAGGATTATTTATGCATTCATTATGCCATTGGTGTTGTATAAGCGGTTACGCATGCCTGTTGGGCTAAAGATTGCACCACAGATCTACCACATTTAACCGACAACGCCCTTTTTTAAAATTAGGATTGATCCGATAAAACCAAGAATGGATTACCAAAGATGATCGACGTGTTTACTGAAGGCGAATCGAAGAAGGATCGAAAACAATCGGTGTTAGGTCGGCGATCTTGTTTTGATGATATATTGATCCCCGCCACCACGTGGATTTTTCTTTACAAAAAAGTGGAGAAATTATTGGAAGCGTGAAATCCGTAAAATTTGTCGATCAGCCTAGCCAAGATGCCGTCAAAAGGTGAAATATCTCGGCCATCACTTGTCACTTGCCGTTTGGAAGCTCGCCTAAAGGATTTTATATCTCTTGTAAATATTACATTTTCTAGAATGTGGCAATAATGCAGCCAATTCCGGGTAGTTTTATTTACTACAGTCGTTTTTGTGGAGAACTTTGCAATTTAAGCATCAGTCCTATTTGAATTGAGAAAGGTAGATTATCATGTAATCAGTCGAACTGATCAAATGGATCCAGTTCGATTTGGTACTGGGGGCGATTTCGATCCAGATCAAGATGGATACATCCGCGATCCGGAGCCAAAATGAGTACATCCGCGTTCCGGACTTCAAGACAGGGGACGATTGTGATCCCGAAGACATAAATAGTTGGGAGAAGGCCACAACCGTGCTCACTATGTTGAAAGCCAAGATTGCTACTACCCTGATCCTCCAAAATTTTGATCCGGATCGATCTCCAGTGATCGTGTTATATGCCAGCAAATGGACGGTATCAGCATCCCTACTTCAGTAGCATGAAGGCGTGTATCGGCCAGTAACTTTTACAAGCCGTGCGTTGAAACCCCAATGGAGTTAACAATGGGATGGTGGAGAATTAAGTTTTGGCTCTCCTTCGTATGTTGTATATTGGTTGTACTTTGTTAGTATCACGAGCAATCAAGGTGTTCACGCGATATTTTACGTTAGCATGGCTGGCACGGTCTTCTAGACTCAATGGTAGACTAGGAAGATGGGCTGCAATACTATTAAACTGGACGTTAAAGGTCAGAAGATGTGTGAAAGAGAATTATGAGATACTGGGTGTTCTTGCGGCAAGTATAACCCCTCGTGAAGAAGTGGATCAAGTGCTTATTGCGATCGCCTCACAGAAGCAGCCGAAGCATACTATCAGCATGCCTCTACTACAGTGGAGATAGAAGAGAGCCTACTGGTAGCCAGTTTTAACGGATCAAGCGGATCAAGCGGAACGGTGGAGCTTGCAGTGCGATCGTCGGGATACAGCCAGAGTGAAATATTATAGCGGCAGCCTCGGACTATACAGTAAATTTTGACTGTGAATGAGGCTGAATACCGGGGTCTGATGGTAGCCTTCAATCTGCTCACAGATCAGGTGAAAAGAAAGATTTTCATTTGTGGAAGCTAGCTCATGTCGCGATGTATAAGTAGTTAGACGTGGATGCGACAACATCAAACGATTACATGAAGATGAGAAATGCTTCAATCAGTTTGTGAACTGGACGACTCTAGATGGTAAAAGCCAATTGTGCTCTACAATTTGCTCAGGACCACAGCATGTGTTCGGTTTTCCCTTCACTTTCGTCACTCGCGATGCATCAGAAGTACACCTTGACGACAAAAGAAATTTCTGGTGATCTGGAGCTGCATTCTTTCCCTATACCGGTACGATACGGCACTTAAATGAGAATATGCGCCAATCCAATACATGGCTAATGCGTTTTATGATGATGCATTTAGCTGTCAAATGCTTTGAAGGCGTTGACCAATGTTATGAAGATATATGGAAGAAATTTGTTACTTCATGGGCTTTTGTTATCCCCTCCTGCTCTAGAAGGGCCGTGTTTGGCCAAAGTATTGTTGCTGACAACGACGGTGAATGGTACGATTTTTTTGTATATGCAGCTTGCTTACATGGAAGTGACACAAGTGCTGATCAATTGCTGGGCGGTAGTGCTTCGTTCAAATCAGAGTGGAAGTTGCGGCATCAGAGCGTATTACAATGAACGATGTAGATCTTTAGGGGATAGCAACCAAGTGCTGATCGAGCTGACCCCAAAACCAGATTATTCTCTAGAACTCCCAAACGGTCACTTACCCACGTCCAGAATTATTCCGCGCCATGTTTGAATCTTCGAACTTCGAGATCGAGTCGGTCACGGGAGAGAAAGCCCCCGTCCCAGTCACCAAGGCGGGCTCCTCCCCAGGGGAGTCACCTAACTTCCGAAGGGTGGATTCATCCTGGGTACATGCGTAACATTCACTGCAGCGGAGGTGGCGCCTTGGTCGGTCGACATGGTCAGATCGTTGAGTGTCGTACGATGACCCCAAGAGACTTGGTCGATTACCCGGAGTTGCCTTGGGGCTGGTTTGGCCCACCAGATGGGAAGGTTGATCGACCTTCCAAGTGGAAGCCGTCGTTGGTCAACTCCTCGATGCTTCAGAACCTCTTGGTTACCCGACCAGGGTCAGACAGCTCAAATATCGCCCCCCTCGTATCCTTTCAACCATTGGGCTGGTTCGCAGAGCTGGAGGCGACTTGCTTACGCTTCGATGAAGACCACAGCCAGGCAATTTGGGAGGTTCCCCACTGCTAATGGATCTCGATAAATTAAGAGCGCTCCAGCTCTTTCCTCTCGTCGTACTACAATGCACGGAAGAAATGACGGGGTCGTGCGATGCGGGCTGGCGAGGGGTCGTCGATCTACTCTTCAAGGGGTTGAGTGACGGTAGGTGCGACCTCGATGTGTTGTATACTGGTTCCCGGGGTGCGAGGAAGAGTCAGATCCCACCGATCTGCTGGACGCCGTGAGGGTCTCCGACTCCACTTACCCATGATCTCCCAGTACCGACTTTCGTCCGAGCCCCATCCCGGGTACTCGTTGCCGCGTCTCCAGGACAAGCTCGTCCCTAAACCGTAAGCCTTTCGCAATATACCTGGGCCCATCTTTTTCATTCTCTGTCTTGCGTCTCTAATTTTCTTTTTTCTTAA